GTAAAACAATGGAAATGTATCATTCTAGATATTAATGTCATTAATTTTAACACATTTTCTCACAAAAAGTGCAAAGAAGACTTTAATGTTAAAGGAAAAAACAACAACATACATGTGCCTTTATTTTGCTTTATTCTTTTTTAATTAATGAAGAAATCCAAATTTTGGCTTTTGTTTCTTTCCCACCCATATCAAAAGCAGTCTATAGTCTAGAAAAATCAAAGCTTCTTTGCCTACCACAAAATATATTCTCTTCTTAGGCATTACATGGTGGAAGGTAAGCATTCTCTAACAAATGGCTCTATAAATGTTCTAGTTGTTATGTATATATACTATTTTAGCTAGAATTTGGTTCAGTCAGAGTGAAAGATTCGCTCTGTGTGTGTGTGTGTGTGTGTATCAAAACATCATGTTGCATACCATAAATATACAAAATAATATTTTTAATTTAATTTTTTAAAAAAATTATACTTTAATCAAGATAGAAGTTTATTTCTTTTTTCTATAAAAGAAACTCAAAGTAGATAGTCCAGTGCTCATAAGGCTGCTCTAAGATCACCATAGACCCAAAGCTTCTTTCAGATAATTCCTCCATCATTTCTAGACTATGGGCTTTGTTTCAATGGCCCAAGATGACGGCAAGAACCCCTGCCATCCCCACTACATTGCCAGCGGCATGATGGTGGAAAGGAGAGAGAATAACATACTTTCTCCTTTTAAAAGAGACTTCTCACAAATCCTGTATAATGCTTCTACTTACATCTCCTTGACTTAATTTTAGTCTCATGCCACACCCGGGTACAAAGAAGACTAGGAAATAAAAGGATTGTTTTCCTCCGGCAATCCCCTAATTCAGGGATTTCAATCTCCTTTAAGCACATGAGCCCTCTCGTAACCTCTCCTTGCCTACCCAGTTCCTCTCAAATTTCTTGTAATCCTGCTGTCCTTATTCACTTTGGAAAAACCCTGCTCTCTGTCATTCTCACAACCTGCCTTCTCCACGTCATTACCTGAACTCCTCCTGGGGGGTGGGGGGAATCCCACATCACTTCAAGCTGGAATTCCAACAAAGTCAAGACCTCTCACCACAGCGGACCCCCAGTGCACTTGACACTCAGTCCCTGCTGTGCCCCCCTCTCGGTCCCCTTGGTGCTTGTTCCAGACCTCCTCCCTCTGCCCAGGGTTGCTGAGCCAGCAGCTATACATCACCTTTCAGCAATGGCCTGGCTTTTTGAAGAAAGTCAGTGTCAACTCCTGTGTCCTCTTCCTGACACTTGTACCCATCGCTTCCTCCACTGTGCTGGTCTTAGCACACCAGGCACGCCTTCTCCCCCTGTGCCACGTCAACCCCTGCAGATGTGGCCTGGATCCTCTCTTCTTCCAGTACCTCTGGCCCTCGCTTCATCTATTTTCCTTTCTTTTTCTCACGTTTGCAATATTTCCTTTCACTCTAGTTCTTTCCTATCTCTGTCAACCTTAGAAACATTGCAAAGCAAAACAACAGCAAAGTTCAGATACACACTCGTTACTGATCCTTTAGTTGGTTCTTTACCCTTCCCTCTCTGTGAAGGTGCTCACCTCCTTCTCCCTAATCTCCTCTGCACATGCTGGCGTAGGACTTTCTCACACACACCTCTGCTCCAGATGGTCAGATTCATTCATACAAAAGCCCAATATCTACTGATATCTCAGGGTTCAAATCTAATGTGCTCAAAACTGAACTCACATATCTCTTCACAAACCTGTTCTTCCTGTCTAAGGGAAGCACCTTTATCCAAATTTAACTTGGAAAGCATACACCTACATCAAATCGATAGATTTTTGTGTTCTAAATATTTCTCAAATCTGTGCTGTCCTCTCTAACTCACCAATACTAGTTCAAGCACTCATCAGCTCCCCCCTAAATAGTGATGCCTGAAATAGTGTTTTTGAAACTGTCAGTTGCATTTAGCATTTTATTTTTTTAAAAAAGATATAGAATTAAATAGAAAATAACACAGTATAAAACTACATCTATAGAATCAAGGACAGGTATTATTTTATAAAATTATTGATATACACATAGCTGTTTTGTCATGAACATGTATTAGTATAAATAAAATAGAGAACCACTTTCTTAAATGATCTATCTTTGCCCTGTCTCTCCTTAGCTCTGCCTTCAACAATTCAACCAAATGCTTCTAGTTGAAAAATTAATCTGAAAATGTCACCCTCCTGCTTAAAACACTTCTTGTCTCCTCACCATCCATGAGATAAACTCTCATCTCCTAGACGTGGTCACCAAGGCCCCTACCTAGCTATCATACTGCCTCTCCAGCCTCTGCCTGATTCTTTCAGTAGCAAGAGTCTTCCACCCATACACACCAGGTTTCACAACTCTCTTCATTTACTTGTTCTCTTCTCCCCATCTAGAACTCACTTTCCTCTCATAATTGCCTAGCTCACTTCATCTCATTCTTTGGGTCAGGGGGCACCTACTATCCAAGCCCTGCTCCTTTCCCTAGACTGGGTCAGGATCTTCTCTTGTGTTTCCATAGTCCTCAAACCAACCGCTAGCATAACCTAATGAAATTGTTCTAAAAACCGTAGTCTATGCCTCTTTATTCTCAAAAAGCCCACCCAACAATGTGTCAGTTCTTTTGTTGCATCTTCACTCTACTAGCGTGTGGTTCTGGGAGACTGTCATGCTGACTTCCCTGTGTTCAATAGACCTGAAGTAGAGAAGGTCAGCTGGCTCTACTACAACTCTTCTCAGAACTTCTCTAAATGATTATTAAGTAAGTGTAAGAGCAAAATATGGGACAGTAGAAGCCAATGTGAAAACTTTTTCTCCTATGTGAGAAAAAAAATGGGACAAAAATATGTCTCTTAACCCTTTTGGTAGAAGGGAATAACTTGAAAGAAGTGGATGCTGGATGGCCTTCTCCACATGGTCAGCCCTTTGAATCAGAATGAGGAAAATGTGAGAAGTAACGCCATTGCTGTGCTTGTTTTATTGGCCAACATTTTAAGTAACTCACGTGGGCCTGCACAAGGATATGTTTTGTGAAAAGGACAAAATTCCTTTTGGTGTGTCTTGAGTGGCATTTCAGAGTAGCCCTGCTTGGCTGGTCCAAGGGTCATGAGTTATCTCCATTGATTTGTTCACAGTAAGTTACAGATCGAACTCCTTGCTCTACTCTTACCTCCTTCTCACTACTGCACTTGATGACTCCTAAGAAGAAAAAAAAAGAGTAGCCTAATAGTGGTCAATAAAGGTCAGCCTTTCACCAACTGCTGCTGGGGAGTCTGAGAGCACTATTTATTCAGCCTGATGGAAACACGTCTGTGACCTACCAACCATGCAGCTTCCTGCCAGGTGCACAGAATATTGCTGGGATGAGTATAAGAAGAGGTGTTTTTTGGTCCCTTCCATTTTTCCCTTCTGATTTGGGCTGTGGTTTCATTGCTTCTCCCCTCCTCATTCCCCCACCCACTAAAAGAATGATCTCTGATGTCTTTCTCATACTTTATCTGCCCTTTTACTTTTCTTTTTACTCTCCTTGAGAGGGGAAGTACAGCTCCAGAATGCCTTCCTTTTATGCTTTGGGCCAATTCTGTTGTGCTGTTTTATGGTCTTGGACTGAGAGCTGCCTCAGCACTCAACACCAGCCCCTGGACTGTGAGACTAATGAGAAAAGCAAAATGACTTCAAGTAAAAGGAAGTGGTTTGTGTTGTGGAGAGAAACTTGGAAAGAAACACCGGTGAGAACACTTGGGGCTTTATTTTCCCCACTGTCTACAGCTGGGGTTAACACTTTTCAAAATAACCAGTCAATTTAGTTAATCCCCATCAAACGGCTAGTCAATACAGTAAAGAGGAAGGGAAAATAAACAAATGGTTTTTTTGGATGACCAGCATCCTGTGGACTTGATCTTACTCATTTCTAGGGAATAATTTCAACTCTTAAGGAAATGTGAACATCTATTTTGCAAACTATTATAGGCTAGTTTAATACAATAATACATTTAAAAGTGTTTTCATATTAAACACATTTATTTTTCCTAAGTGTCATTAAAACAGGTAGAAATAATATGGTAGCCATAGACACTTGGATTGTAATGTGGGAAAAGCAAGGTTAAAATCATTAGCAGAAATTTCTTTCTTTTCCATCCTTCCACTGTCTCAATGGCTGGCCTTCCTACTTTCTCTGCTTTGTTCTTTCCTTTACCCTCTGTTCCTCTGCCTTTTAACCTCAATAACAATACAGGTAACTATGTGCAAGCACTGTGCTAAGACTTGACACACATGATCACATTTAACTCTCCCAACCACCCTATGAGGTAGGTAGAATTATTATCCCCATTTTACAGAAGAAGAAACTGAGGCTCAGAGACTCATGGAAATTCTCATAGTTGTTATTCTGGAAAGTTGTGGAGCCAGATTCAAACCTCAGCAGTTCCATTTCAGATTCCACACCCTGTAAACAGCACACTCCTGCCTCCCTCAAATTCCAGCCCAGTTCACTTTGGTTTCCTCCACATTCTTTTCTTTTCTCATGTTCTCCACTATACTCTGTCTCCCTTCCCTTTCCCTTGACCTCTTCTTTTTCCACTCTTTTCTCTCATTCCTTGCTTTATTTCTTGTATTTCCTATTCCTTGTTTGAATCTCTTTCCTTTCTTTACCCTCTTCATCCTGTTCATTCCCAGCTCCCTGATCCCGTATCATTGCCCACTTATGGTGCCACCTCACCTCTCCCTGTAGCATCGCTCAGGTCCAGACAGGGCTCCATCTGTCGTTCCTTACCTCACTCCTCCTAACATCTCTCTCCCTACATTAGCAGTGGTGCCCATCTTCACGTACAAGGGAGCGCAAAGATGTGTTCAACTAGGAGAGGCTGTGTCACCCTCCTCCCATATACATTCCCACCAGACACCTCACAAATCAGGTTATTATTGAACTTCATATGATCTCTAGTGACTAGAAAAAGATAATGCCTCTCTCCATGGTCATTCACAGGAAGTGAGCTCGAGGCAGCAGATAGAAACCAGCTGCAGAACTGTGAGACCCAAGCCAAGGACAATTCCTATGTTTTGGCCCATTGCAGTAAGTGCTCAAATTTACACTGTGATGTAGCACTTTGAACAAAACCATGTTTTACTCAAGTAACCATATTTTTAACCAGCCAATACGGGACAGAAGAGTTTCATTGCCTTGAATCAAAGCTATTTGATGAGTTTTCCTGGAAACACCCTTAGGGTTCCAGGAAAGGATTCCAGATTCCCAAGCTACTGGCACAGAGGAAGCATCTTTTCTTCACACAGTAATACACAAAGGTCCCTCATCACCATATGGCATATCCTCTTTGGATTAGCTCGGTTACCAGAAATAACTAGATCAAAATAGGTGTTATTTTTACATGGACACAAGGTAGACTAAGGTGTGGAATTTTTGAGGAATCATCACAGTTCTAGAGACCTGAAACTTCACTTTTGCTTGTGGAAGATACAATGTCTTTCTCAGGATTCTGATTTTGTTTATTTGTGCATCTGGTCTGTTTTATTCTTCTGGAGATAGTTCTCTGCTCTTCATAATGTCTGCTTGCTCATTGTCAAAGTTTGCACATGGCTTGCTATAGCTTCTCTGGCCCCCCAGTTTTACTTCAAGCCATCTACAGACTTTTTTTTTTTATACTTCTCCTGACACCAAATGCCTTAGTTGCAGTTTCCCATCCATACTGCAATTAGAACCTACAAATTTACAAATACAATGAGATAACTTTTTATTGTAGACATTCATTATAGCTCATTGGCTACTGGTAAGCCCATGAATTGTCTGTGCTTAGGCTAGATATCCAGACTTAGTTTATTTAACAATTGGGACAACATTCTTTTAACAAATAATTTCTTAAGATTCTCCCATATTCCAGGCACTAAGGAAGGCTCTTGGGTTACAATGGTGACCAAAAAGTAGCATTATCCACGTCTTTTGCCCCTATAATCTAGGGGTTAGGAGAAGGGAGACATATATTGTGTTAATCAAATAACCAATCCTGAATGTAAAATTTCAAACTGAAGTATTTTATGTGAAGGAAAACTTTTATGGGAGTTCAAGACCAGAAGCCCACTCTACCCATGCTTCTGGAATTTCATGGGAAAAAAAATACTTATGTATAGCAGAATGGATCTTCTGTAGAAAATTCCAAAGACAGGTTGGCCAATCAAGGAGAATGAGCGAGTTGATGCCCAAAGCCATTTCTTCCGCTGCTATCGTACTTAGTTTGCAATGATTCTATTGCACAGCTTGAAAGGCAAGCACTGGCTTCTCTTCCTTCTGTTCTCCTTCCCAGAGAAGAATCCTCCTCCGCCTCCTTCTTACTCTTCTACTCCTGCCACCTCTTCTGAGGCTGCCACTACCACAATTATAACATCTTCCCATCTCTAAGGCTCTGAATTTGGACCTCCCACATGGCAGGACTCTAAATTACCACTAATCCATTCAGTTTGCTTCATTTCCAAAACATTCATTCAAATTCTAAATGCCTGGATCCTCTTGTGTAGCCATGGCTATGCTAATTTCTGCACTTGCATTTTAATTCCTGGAGTCAGAATTTCACCTGAAAACTTCCAGATAATTGCTTAGATGGCACAATAAAAATATCCAGGTTAACAACAACAACAAAAAAATCTCTGCTAATGAGTCTGTTATTCCTTTGCAAGGCCCAGTAATAGGGAACCTCCTCTTGGAAAATTTTGCCAAGCCATTCTGACTTGTAGTCACACTTGGTTCCAAATCTATTGACAAGAAAAATTCAAAGGGGGAGGGAGAAAGACATTATCCTTGTTTTTAAACTAACATGTACAAAGACCACAGAGAGGCAGCCCTAGGAAGCAACATGAAAATCTTAAGGACTGTTTTTTCAGACTCTGAAATTCTCCTAAGTCCCTATCCCAATATCACTCAAGCTCTTTACAACCCCTGTTTGTCCTTAGGCTGTAACTTGTGCCTGAAATTCCTACTCCAAGGTTCCCTTGTGGTATTTTTAATGGTGTTGTTTGATGCTGCAGCCAGCTTCTCTGAGGTTTGGGAGTTAAATGGGATACAGCAATGTGGTGTGCTGTAACAGCTCTTGGAGGAACGTTAGGACAAATTAAATTCCAAATAAGATAGCACCTGAAAGAATGTGGTCCTTTAGTGAAAGAGCTTAACACTCTAGAAAGGAGGGTTTAGCAATTCCTATTGACCCCTGAATGATTAAGAAATATCTTACTAACCAAACTGAGTTTGTAATTGGTTTTGGACTCAAATGCAGAGTATTCACTTTGATTTTTACTGGTCTTTACGAATCTAGTTCCCTGTTTGCTTTTTTGTCTAGTAAAGCCTGATGAGATGTGTCAGTTTATGATAAAATGGTACTAAAAATGGGGAGGGGAATAATTAATACCGTTACTTAAAGCACCAAATTCTACGAGCTGCTGATTGCCAAGTGTAGGCAAGGATTGCTACCACTACTATCAAATAAGTCTGGTATCTCCTATTTGTGTCCTGACATCCAGGCCCAATCTGGGCACAAGCATTACAGGATCCCGCAGCCTAACAGGGGTCAATATTTGAACAATACTTAAATATCATTAGTGTATTTGAATCAAATGTGGTTTCAGAGTAATGAAAAGATTTTGTTTACTGTTATTTAGAACAAAACCAATTATTAAAATATATATGCACACAAGGGCACACACATATATATTTGGTTTTGGTAAACTGTTTCACTTCCAGTAGACTTTTATTGAATAATCTATCGTCTATGGAGTTTCTTTTAATTAAAAAATCTTTATGGTAATGGATTTATTCCAGAAGGAGCAGGTTATATGTAAAATACAATGAATAACCAATTAAAATAATAACAAATAAGTTGTGTTGAGTACTTACCATGCCAGGTGCTAGGCTAGACTTTCTATGCTATTATTTCACCTTCTCCACATTGTGTGAGGGGTGGGTCTATTATTGTCTCCATGATACAGAAAGGATGAGATATAGATGTTGTTACCATCTTCATGATACAGATGAGAATTTAGAGCTGAGAGAAGATAAATAATAACTAAATGGTTTCGATAGTATTTGAGGAGTTACAGTAAAAAAAAAAAAAAGAAAGTTCTCAAGTTGTATTGAAAAGTCTGTGTTTCTTTCTCACTGTTCAAATATAGTTTTTCTCCTCTACCCTCAACTGAAGTAAACACAACCTACACATTGTAGAATCAGGACTCTAAAGTCACTGCCACCAAAATCCCAACAAAGTAGATGTCAGTAATTTGGGAAAATACATATTTTTTTCCTAGTTGAGGATGAGTTACCTCTATTGATGACATGACTAAGTCAACAAGTAAAAATTACTGGCTTGAATATCAATTCATCTCTCTACTAAGAAAAGCAGGAAATAACTCAGATATAAATGATGCAAGTGGCTGTTGGATTGGGAAGATGTTTAAACTTTATACCAAGAAATCACACAGTGATGGACCCAGTATGGTATGGGAGGTATTCATAACTGGTTCTCTGACTTGGAAGAGTATGGAGGCTAAAGGATGGTAAAGTTAATGAAAAGCTATTCAAATAATAGGATTTTGTGTGAAAATTAACCTGATCAAATACCATATTTCTCCAGACTTTATGGGAGATAAACATCATAACTTTAGCAAAAGAACTAATGATAGGAAATACAATTACTAAGTTAAGGCTCTTGCATTGACTTTATAAGTATTTCTAAATCCGGTTTAGGATTATGGAGACAAAAACAAGACCATAAGAAATTCTAAATACCATTTATTGAGAGAAGTGTTAAAGGAGTAGGGATTTAAACTGCATCAAAATTCATGATCTTTGGGAGTCAAACTCAAGGTGAGCTTGTATTATAGATTGCTGATGCCGGGTTCCAACTTGGGTATTTCAGTCACATCACTGCCCAACTCAATGAAAGACATAGATAGCTTTGACAAGCAATGAGTTTTATCAATGTATTCAAAACTGAAGTCATCTTAGGAAGAACTTGAAGATTTAGACAATGTTTGAGCTTTTTTAAAAAGCCTCCTACAATTCAACCAAGTACTCTTTTTTTTTCCCACTCTTCATATATAGTCTTTGTCCTCTCCACTCAACTGCAGTGTAAGAATTTGTTATTTTTTGTGGTATTGTAAGGAATATTTAAAATAGAAGTTGCAAAGACATTCAATATTTAAAATTTACATGGAACTGCCATATATTCTTAACTTTTGGAGTTATATGAGCCAGAGATGTGAAGAAGGTGTTCAGGAGGAGCATAATTCTAAGTTGAATATGCTCTTTTCAGCGTTTCTGTTTCTTTTATTAGGGTAATTTTTTTTTTTACTCAGGAAATAAAGCAGTAGACAATTGTTTTCTGCCATTTTTTCTGTAGGGAGCCTTATCCAATTAAATTATCCATCTAAGTCCTACTGCTCTGCTCTCAACAAAATTTGAATAAGAAGAAACTCCAAATCTAATTTGGAAATAAAAGTATCAAAACCTTTTCAACAATTTGCTTTGGACTGCACTATTTGATTTAGAAGAAAGTGAGTCAGACCATTTCCATTTCTTGATGAAACAACACTAACTCGTGCTAACTTGAAAGAAATGACTCTCTTTGGTGACTTTGAAAGTGTTACATTTCCATACTACCTTGTCTGTAGTAATTACTGCCCATCCCTAGAACTCTTTTTTTAAATTGAAAGTATTTTAAAAGATAATAGATTCTTATGCTTCAAAGTTCAAAATGTGTTCTAGAAAGGATCAGTTGTTAACGGCTTATTTTATATTATGTAAACACATCTTATATATGTACAAGCAAAATAGATATTGGCTAGCATTCTTAAAAATATAAATAGGAAAATATTGGATCTTACTAAGTTACTATTTCATAAGGTATCTATAGAAAAAGATAAGAAAAGCTACATACAGTTAGGTGTATATTTTTTTCAGTTCTTTAAAATAAGAACATTTTATTTTGTTTTTTTTAAACCTACTAAACTTGTCTTCAGACACATATTTTAAATTTTCTTAACTGTTTGTAAATATGTATATGTTCATTAGCAACA